TTTCTTGTAATTATTCAAGTTCATATGCACATATGTAAATATAAATACCAAATATCTACTTTTTGCATTATATAACATATGCACATATAGTTGATATACCTCCGTGTGTGTGTGTGTGTGTGTGTGTGTGTGTATGTGTGTGTGTATGCTTATAGCTCTCAGTACTGCCTTATTTCCCATTTTTATATGTGAAACTTTTTTTGGTACGGGGGATTGAACTCAGGACCTTGTGCTTGCGAGGCAGGTGTGGCATCATTGGGCTAAATCTTCAGCCCTATATGTGAAACTCTTACGTGTTTCTTTTCCATGAAATCTTTCTGCACCAAGAAGAATAAAGTATATGTGGATGAAAAGACCATATAAAAATGTTCATAGTAGCTTTCTCATAATAGGAATGAATTACTGATTTACACAAGAGAAGACTCTCAGAAATACTGTTCAGAGTAAGAGAAGCCAAACAGAGATGAGTGTGTACTGTGTGATGCCATTTATGAAGAATACAAGAACAGCCAAAACTAAGGTAGGATCATAGAGATCAGGACAGTGGTTACCTCTGGGTAGGGGTTGTGATGACTGGAAAAGGGCACCAGAGAACTTCCTGGGGTAGTGGAGCTATTTGATAACTTCATTTGGGTATTGGAAATTCAAGTGTATATTCTTTGGGTAACTATTTTTCATGTCATTTTTATTGTAGAGAAGAGTGTAAGACTATACAAAGAACTTCTGTTTACCTGTAGCCAGACTCACTAATTGTATACATTTGTTCAGACTTATTAGGCTGAATATTTAAATTCTGTGCATTTTACAGTATGTAAATCTTTCAGTATGTAAATCTTTAGTAAAGGAAAAAAGCTAAAATATGTGTTTAGATGAGAATGATCTTGTTATCTGAAGAAAGTGAAATACCTCAATTAGGAATTAATCCATCATTTACTTAATGATCAGCGAGAGAATTGCTTGCTGTCTTTTATCTCATACACACACTGCTTTTCACTGAGTTTTAACAAATCTTTTTTTTTTTTTTTGGTACTGGGGATCGAACTTGGGAACTTGTGCTTGTGAGGCAGGCACCAGAACCACTGAGCTAAATCCCCAGCCCTTTTCACTGAGTTTTTCTGACAGCAAATGTTGGTTGGAAGAAACAGGGTCCTGAAAATGATTGAGGACAGAACTGCCAGCAAGGAAACCCTGCTTCACTTTGTTATCCTATGCGTGGGACCTGGGAAGTAAGGCCACTACCTAGCATTGGCCTTCTGGGAATGGAAGGTGATGTTACAGCTGTTACGAGAGTTGCACTCCTACAGTGTGCTGGGCTGTGCAGGGACATGTACTGTTTCTGCTGTCCCAGAGCTTACTTGGCAAAGTAATCTCAGTGTCGTTACTGGGTGGTGCTGTTTATCACAGAGGGAAAGGTTTGTGCTTGCAAGCCTCATAAACTATTCATGAGTTCCAAGTGGTGAATCTGCTCTCTTTCATTGATTTTAATGCACTGTACCCTCAGAGTGATTTCATTTAAGTTAAAATTTATTTAAATCATAGTTTAAGCAATGAAATTGTTTTTAAAAATCAACTTTACCTCTATTATTATTATTATTATTATTTATTTTATTTTATTTTTTGGTACCGGGGATCGAACTCTGGACCTTGCACTTGCACGGCAGGCGGTGGAACCACTGAGCTAAATCCCCGGCCCCTCCTCTATTATTATTAATTTTTTTTTTTGGTACCGGATATCGAACTCGGGTCCAAAGCACAGGTGGCGAAACCATTGAGCTAAATCCCTGGCCCACTATTATTATTATTATTATTATCATTATTATTATTTTGATTTTTTTGAGACAGGATTTGCTACCTAGCTGAGGCTTCCCTCAGCTTTCTCACAACCCAGGTGGCCTTGGACTCGAGATCCTCCTGCCTCAGCCTTCCAAGTCCTGGGATTACAGGTGTGTGCTACCATGCCTGGCTCGGTTTTAATATGTGCTTATTACAATTTAGGATTAGGTATAATTTATGAATATTGGTTCATTTTTAAAAATAATCTTTTACGTATAAGAAAAGCTTATTTTTTTGCTAAGGTAGAAGGTGTTTGAAGTAACTAGAGGGCTAACCATTTACATCAACATATAATCATTGATATTTAAAATAAACATTTTGCCTTTATTAATCAAAACCATACTGTTATATGGCCTATATATTTTTCAGCACAAGCATAAGTTCACTGAGGAGAAGAATGACAGATCAGTCAACACAGATCAAAGGACTTTTTCAATTGAATGAACAAGTTTGCGTTCCTCTGAAATGGCAGACTAGGCCTTGTCTGTCTGCTATACACTACTTTTTTTTTTTTTGGTACGGAGATCGAACTCAGGACCTTGCACTTGCGAGGCAGGTGGCAGAACCACTGAGCTAAACTCCCAGTCCTATACTACATTTTATTGGTTGTTGAATATGAGGAAGACATTATTTGAAAATATTTATCTGCTGGAATTTTATTTTGAATTGTCACCCTCAACTAAATAGAATGGAAACATCTGTAGGTAGCCCTTCATATGATGACAGTTCCCTAGATGTATAGCAGTGGACTGCTGTCCACATGCATGTTCCCCAGGCTCATACATTTTCAACATCTTGGTTGAGGTGCCTTTTCTTTTTGTTTTTGGCAGTACTAAAGTTTGAATCCAGGTCTTTTGCACTGAGCCACACCCCCGTCCTTTAAATTTTTTTTTTCTTTTCTTTTTTTAAATTTTCTCACCAGGGATCAAACTCGGGACCTTTTGCACATATGAGGCAGGTGGCATAACCACTGAGCTAAATCCCCGGCCCTAATATTTTATTTTTGAGACAGAGTCTTGCAAAGTCACCAGTTTGCCCAGGCTAGGCTCAAAACTTTCGATCTTCCTGCCTGGAGTGCTGGGGTTACAGCCATGTAGCACCCCTCCCAGTTTAAAGTGCTTTTTAAAACTATGAGGGGGTAGGGCCGGGGATTTAGCTCCGTGGTTTCGCTGCCTGCTGCGCAAGCGGAAGGACCCGAGTTCGATCTCCAGTACCAAAAAACAAAAAAAAAACACCTATGAAATTATCACAAGTATTGTAAAGTAATAGTAGTAGTGGCGTACAAGAGTTTTCTGTTTTTATTCTTCTTCAGAAAATTTGTTATAAATTTAAAATCACTGTTTTAGCTTAGAGATTTGACTTTAAACAAATGGTAGTTATGAAACTATTATTATCTTCAGGTTCATAGCCTGGAAAAGAAAGATTAATTTTTAAGCTTCCCACTAGAATAAATTAGTCCAAATATTCCATTATATCTGTGCAAAAAGGTACTATTCATCTACAAAGTTAGGTTGTTGTGGATGGATGTGGAGTGTCTGAGGAATGCAGTTGTCTACGTGTTCTTTTTTTTTTTTGGTTTTGGTTTTTTAAGACAGGGTCTCCCTCTGTAGCCCAGGCTGGCCTAGAGCTCACAGTGATCCTCCTGCCTTTGCCTCTCAAGTGCTGTTACGACAGGCGTGCACCACCATGCCCGGCTACATGTTCTTTTGTTAACCTCTTTCTTTAAAACCTCAATCATTACAGCGCTCTTTACTGCCACCTCTTTTTAGGCCCCATATCTATATTGTTGTCTATCTAAACTTGAAGTCTAAATTTTCATCTATGTCTTGAAACAAAATATGTTTCAGTAGTCGCTCTATAGCAGCTGCATACCAGCATCCCAACTTCCCTCCTAAGCTGTTAATGACTCTTATTCTTTCTGGTCATTGTTTTCCTCTTACTTTGCTGCTGCTGCTTTTTTTTTTTTTTTTTGGTACTGGGGATCAAACTCGGGACCTAGCACTTGACAGGCAGGCACTGGAACCACTGAGCTAAATCCCTGGCCCTTTGCTTCTTAAGCTAAACAATACCCCTTTTTACTAATTTTATGTTTCTTTTTATGTTTTTGTCCCTTTCCTTTCCACTGTACTTGTCCTAATTTAATTAATGTTCTAAAGCAAGAAATTATCACTAATCTTTAGTGAACTTCACACATATCAAAATTAAGCTATGTTCCTGAAGTAAAATAGGACATTTCCTTCCTTTCCATAGAAGGCTTCCGTCAGCCTTCTAGGCAGACCCATCATTTTTAAGGCTTGGGTACTACATTTATCCACAGGTGATGTGGCAGATTGCCAAGCCACTTGGCTCAAATCATCTGATGGTTGGTGGCTGGCAGGGCCACAGTTTTTCAAGGAGTTTGAACAGCAGACTGCTTTAGACCACAGGTGTGGCCCAGGATGACTTCCTTTGGGTCCTAGATATCCTCGAGTACTCTGGAGCCTAGGGGAAATGCTGAACTGTGTGTTCATAGCACATTTTCAGGGCTAAGGTTTTTATGGCTAAAAGTACAGGTCTGTTGCCTTCTCTGAGACTCTGCTCCTGACTCTTGTCCCTTGTATCCTGACTAAGACTATTCCTATTAAAACTCCACCTTTGCTGGGGGGGGGGGTTAGCTCAGTGGTACAGCTGCCTGCCTTGCAAGTGCAAAGTCCTGAGTTTGATCCCCGGTACCCAAAAAAAAAGACACAAAAAACTCCACCTTTGCTGAAAACGACATCATATCAATTCTCTAACTTGTCATCTCTTCAGACACTCCTGGAATTAAAGTATGTCAGAAAGATGGGAGCCTGAGGTTAGTCAGGAAGATATAAAATAAAAAGGGTAAAGAAAAGATACCATTGTATTCCCACTAGCAGTTGTGTAGCTTCCAGGGTCTTGGACCTGATTCCTTTCCAGACAGATTGTAGTTCATCCTTCTGACTTGAATTTGGTCAGCTTCTGGAGATCTTTCTACTCTTTTAGGAAATGTTTGAATTTCCTTCTGGTAGAAACCAAAACCCAATTAAGATTACTGACTTTGGGGATAAGAAAATGAAATATTGCATATATTGTTCTGGAGCATCAAGATTATTTGGTTGTTTTCTTCTAAAGGAACTATGAGTAAGTAATATGAGGATTCTGAAATGCTTATGCGAAATTAATTTAGTGGTTATTGTAAAGGGTGGGAGAAAACACACTACCCCTAGGACTCCTGGTATGGTGGAATAGACACTGGAATGAGATTCAGAACTGTTGCAACTAAGTAGCTGTATACCCTTGGGCACATTAAAGTTACTCAACCTTTCTGAGTTTACTTTAACTGTAAAATGAATGGGTGAGATTAGCTGGTATTTTAAGGTCCTTTTCCAGCAAGCTCTGATATTCTAAGATGAGTCGTTTCTCAGGAAAAAAAACAATTCCTAATTTATATTTTGTTCCTAGTTAATGATTGCTCAGTGAATGTTTCATATACACATTTTTCCATTTTCATTAGAGATTAGGAAAAGAAATGAGCTGGGTGTGGTGGTTCATGCCTGTAATCCCAGCTACTCAGGAGGCAGAGGCAGGTCAATCTCAAGTTTGAGGCCAGCCTGGATAAGTTAGTGAGATCCTGTTTCAAAATAAAAAGGGATGAGAATGTAGCTCACTGGTAGAGTGTTTGCCTGA